CTGTCTATAGCCCCATCATAACTAATTTTTATCTTAACTTCTACTAACTTCAATTACCATAATCGTTGTTTTGACGACGAGGTCAAATTGTGGTATGGTAAGAAATGTATACGATTTAATGGAGCGAAACACTTTCCACCATTTTAATAATTTAACAGATTTTCTAATTTTTATGCGTTTTTTGCAGCAGTGCAATGCGAAAAACGCATATTGACGAGAGGTTGTCTGTTTGTGTGTGTCCTTGTGTGCGTCTGTCACGGTTTTTCATCTCAAGACCTACAAAAGCTACGGGGCCCGCCAAAATTTTTTTCATGCAAACTGATAACTCAAGTATCTGAGAAGCTAAAGGAATGTAATTTTAAGAGGATATACCCCGTTCGTCTAAGTTTCATTCAGCTCGAACCCAGCTGTCAGGTGTGCTTGGTAAAAATGCACGGGCCCGTGAAAATTTTGCTCCAGTGAGTTGCTAACTCAGGTACCAGGGAAGCTAGAAAGCTGAAATTTTAAGGGAATATTTTCTGACAGTTCTGGTGACCAGTTTTAATTTGTTTAGCTAGAAGCATTTGCCGGAAAAACCGGTGCCGGTAGCAACGAAAACTGCGGGGAACCATGCAAAAAACGCATCTTCGCACGGGCAGCCCGTGCGTTGGCCAATTATTATTTCTTGCCGTCTTTTTTCATTCCTCTTTTTATTTCATTCTTCCTTATTATAACTTTGTGTTATTTATCAGTAGTCTTACACTTATTCATAAAGATAACACGCGTCGCAGCATTTATACGATTGTTAAAGCACTTTTACACCTTTAAGATCACTATAAGTACTTGTGTTACCCTTCTGACCACGTAAAGAGTAGTATTCGTAGTAATCTCAAAGGTGTAAAAGTGTAAAATTTTCATTTCCAGCCGTAAAACGTGAACATCTTGCAGTAATCTCGAGGCTGAACTATATTCACGTGTACAGCCGGGAAGTGATGGTGGATATGGTCGGAATTTTCACGGGAACGCACCACCCGATATTTCTAGGCGAGAGCTATGGAATGCGTAAGTACATTGCGATTTTTATTGGGCATTTAGCAAAATCTTCTAATGTAACTGCACATTGTGGTAGCCTGCCCACACCTTCTATTTATATTTGTATTATACTATATACATGTAATTAAAGTACTGGAAAAAGTAAGCGTACACATAGTCAAAGTCAAAATAATAATAAATTGCGGCCGTTAGAAGGCCGTATCACGACCTTAAAATAGATGGACGGACAAAACTCCTTCCATATTTGTTGTCTACGAGAAGTGGTGTTAAGCCCATGCGTGGTCCTTGACTGCAGCAGCGAAACACAGGGGAATAACACCAGCAGTTTATTATTCCAATAAGCGCCTCACACCAGAGAAAACGACGAATAAGATGACGCGTCAAATGACGAACGGGACGACGCGGAAAACGATGAGCCG